AAAGTAATCCCAATATTCAAAAAAGGTGATAAAAAAATGGTTCAAAATTATCGGCCTATTTCACTCGTTCCTATTTTTTCCAAAATATTTGAAGCAGTAATGTATAATCAATTAAATAATTACTTTGAAACAAATAACCTATTGTCAAACTCCCAATTCGGCTTTCGTCAAGGTAAATCCACAACCTCAGCAATTCTCACTTTAGTTGACCATTCTCTCGAAACTTTAGAAAAGAAGGAATCTGTGTCATTAGTTTTATGTGATTTAAGTAAAGCTTTTGACACGGTTCCTTTTGATATCCTAACTAACAAACTACGTTTTTATGGCATCACTAATGATGCCATGCTTCTAATTTCTTCGTATTTATGTAATAGACTTCAATTGGTATCAATTAAAAATAAATGTTCTAAAACTGAAAAAGTTGAAACCGGTGTTCCTCAGGGCTCTGTACTAGGGCCATTTTTCTTTAACGTCTACATTAATGATCTTCCTATAAATATAAATACACAATCTGTTATATATGCGGATGATACAACTTTACTCGCCAACCATTCTAATTTAACAACCCTGCGCTTAATTAGTCAAGAGGCTGAACATAGAGCATATGATTGGTTTTCTGCAAACAGACTATCTTGTAATTCTGACAAATCACAATATATAACAATCAGTCTTAAAACAGAGGTAAAATTTGAATCAGTTAAACTTTTAGGATTTAATTTGGATTCAAAATTAAATTGGTCATCACACATAAAATCTGTTTGTAACAAAATTTCAAGAGTGAGGTGCTTGCTGTGGAAACTTAAGGATTTTGTTAGTCAAGAATATTTAAGATTGGCGTATTTTGGACTCTTTCAATCGCACATACTATATGGTCTTATTTTGTGGGGCCACTCTCCACATATTAATGACATCCTTTTACTCCAGAAAAAGGCGGTTCGAAGCATTGCTGGAGAATGCTCAGATACACTACACATTGTAAACCTCTTTTCATTAATTTCAGGATACCAACCATAGTAAATCTTTATATATTCCAAATTCTAATATATACAAAGTCAAACTTAGATCAATTCTCTTTCCGAAAAGACGTACACAATCACTATACAAGAGGTAGGGATAAAATAGATATATTGCAGCACAGATTGGCAATAACCAAACATTCACATAAATTAAATTCTATAATGTTTTTTAATAAGCTGCCTGAAGAAGCAAAATTAGTTTCTTACAGTATTTTTAAAAATAAACTGTATGACTGGATTGTTAAAAATCCCTTTTACAAAATTGATGAGTTTTAAGTTGTGAAATAAATATTAGATTTTGAAGAGTAAGTTGAAATAAAGCTTTTATCTTCATGTAAGTGGCTATTTAAATTTAGATATTTTGTACTGTAAACACTGAATCACCTTGTAACTATGTATAACAATGACGTGTCCTATTTCTTTTATAAAGATCAATGGAAATAAATATTTCTTATTCTTATTCTTATTCTTACATTGGACAAACAGCTCGTTTGTTTACGCAAAGATTTAAAGAACACCTGCCTAAAAAATCTACTAAATCTACCTTCGCAAATCATTTGATAGACACAAACCATAATTACACCGACATTAATACCAATCTGGACATATTGCATTATTGCAGAAAAGGCAAACATATGAACACCATCGAAGAGTTCGAAATATACCGATCATCTAAAAACAGTCCTACCCATTTGCTCAATGAAAAATTATCCTTCGAGTCAAATTTAATCTACAATACAGCAATAGATATGATAGATGGCAGTGTCAATGTGATGCGAGGATCTGACGACAACGGGAGTGGTAGGGGGCACATACGTCACGCTCCGACATCGACGCGTACGCGTGCCCAGTCATGACTCATCTTTTGCCGGCTACACCACGCACGCTACCGCACCAGTATTATTTTAATTGGCCAATTTTGTTAAATGTTTGTGTTTTCGTGTTCGTATTCGTGTCTTCAACGACTCTTCACAGTTATGAAGAGGATTTATGTGTTTAGAAGGAGTTTAACCATGGTATCAGCTTGAAAATGAACCTTTAGGTTCGAAACCTGGGTCGCTGACCTAAAACACAGGATCACGGACAAGTACTACAGGTATTTAACCTTTTATTAGTAAACAAGAAGAACTGCTAAACTGCGTATTTCACAATTTCAGATAGCTGATACAAAGAAATTAAATATAATATTTTCCATAACTATGAGGTAGGTTTATTTTAATCTAACCTTTTATCATGGATTATTTATTCTAAAACTGTGTCAATGATTATATAAAAAAAAAGATTCTATAACCGTTGCTGTATCAACTCCGGCTCTGCTTTGGATTTTTTTTAAGCATCTAAAGTTATGAAAATAATGTTATTAATATGATTTCATGGAAACAGTATGAAAATTACAATGTATAGATGTTTTATATGAATTTGGAGGCTACTTTAAATAAATTCCGAAACGGCACACGGAAGATTTCTCAGGTGCCGTTTGACGTCACTAACTGCTGACCTCACTTTGAGGGAACACCAATACCGCACCGATACGGATTTGAGTCATCGGCCTCGGTGGTGTAGTGGATAGCGTGGCGGGCTTATAATCCGGACGTACCGTGTTCAAATCCCGCCGATAGCACTAACTTTTTGTCAACAATTTTTTTCATATCAGCAAGTTTGTTTGGTTTGGTTAGGTTATGACAGTTTAATTTTATAATAAAAAAAAATAAAAAATTGAATTTTAGGCATTTATAATTTTATTTTATAAACAAAACTATTTTTTAGATTAGTAAACTTTCATTCGATTTTTCCTTTATCAGCACGTTTGGTTAGGTTATGACAGTTTAATTTAATAATAGAAAAATTATAAAATTGTCTGTTTCTTCAGACGCAGCAGTTAGTGACGTCAAACGGCACCTGAGAAATCTTCCGTGTGCCCCACCGAATAAATTCTAACTCCTTAACATGTGTTAGATTAACTTAACATAACTTGCACATCACATTGTTTTTTATATGTATATTTAGGTAAATTAAGTTATTGTGTTTTGCTAAACCTATGCATAAATTAAACTAATAAATATCATCAATAACTAAATTGTACAGTACTTGATTTTTGTTTTTTTAAATCTGTTGTATATGTGTAACTATAATTAATTATCAAATGATAATACAAAATACTCTAATTTTATCTTAACATAGCTTTCAGTTCACATTTACTTTATTTGATACATTTATTATTTGTGTTTTGCCACACCACTGATTAAATTAAACCAAGGAAAATATCATAAAACTAAGCAGTACAAAGTGTTCTTTTGTTTCTAAAATCAATGAAATATCTGTTACTATGTTTACTTTATGGTAAGTGTGAAAATGTAAAGCCAATGGACGATGGAACTGATTAAAAAGAACTGGTTTGTATATTAAGTTGTTTGTTCATATTTTTGTAGAGTTCAGAGATGCAATGAAACATATACTGTATTTGCTGTTAAATTGTTTAGTCCTTGATGCTTTGATAATCATATTAGTTTCGTCTGCTGTCTTTAATGCTAAATTATTTGTTTAAAATTTGTTATAGTACCTATAGATATAGTTTCTTTAATATTTCAAAAGACTGTATTGAAAAGGCATAGCAATATTTCTAAAGTTTATAACAGCTGACTTAGTTTTGCTAATGATTTATTGTGAATGAAGAAACTGAAGATGGAAGGATTTGTGATTTAATATAAAGAAGAGTGAAATAAAAAAAATGTTCATTTAAATTTAATAATTAGTAGTAACTTCGAAATTGAAATTTAAAATGTCAATAATAAATAAAAAGATATGTTATTAAGGGAGATGAAATGGTGGTATCCACTACTTACCAGATTTAAGAGTCATAACCTAAACGTTTCTATTAAGGCCATTAAAGTTGAATTTTGTTTCCAAAAGTGTTGGGGGATGTGTAACTATTATATGCAACAGATGTAAAGATTGAAATATTTCTATTTTGTGTGCTCTTCCCATTGCAAAGCACGGGTACAACAGCTAGTAACACAATAAAAGTGAAATGAAAAAATAGTAAATTCTGTGTTGTACTGTAAAATATTTTACCTACGACTGAATTTTAAACTTGCCTTAACCAGTTCATTTCTTAGAATTGAAAAGATTCACTTTACAGTATTGTTTACTTACTTTACAGCGTTGTCTTTTATTTACTTTACAAAACTAGTAATGGACCAATGAGGTTCAAGGGTTGAGAGAAAAGAAGTAAAATTGTAATGTTTCGAACGTCAACTTATCAGCTGTTAAGACCAATTTAATCGTTAATGAGTGGTTGGTACAATGAGTTGATGTATCACAATCAGTGGCAATGAGAGGATATAAATGGAAAGAAGTTTTGAGTAGTGATTGTTGTAATTAAAAAGCGCAGGCAGGTAAAGTAGTGTACGAAACTCACGTAAATAGTCTTTACGCGATCGTTGCGTAAACTACTATAACGAGACGAATATATCAGCTATAGTCCTCGCCACCCTAACTTGAGGCAGCCCAAGGCCACACGCCGTATATGTAGTGCAGCCTTGGGCTGCCTCAACTTAGGGTGGCGAGGACTATAGAGGAAATATTACTCGGTACCCTACATACACTTAAAGTTTGACATTAACATTCAGTATTGACAATTAACTGGTTTGTTTATATTTTTACCCTGGTAAATTCTTGATTTTTTTTAGTGGGAAGGGGGCAGGTTGTTAAGTTACGAAGGGGGGGGGGGGAGATAGCGGGTATTATGAAATTGGGTTTTATGCTCCTGACCTTTGGGGGTAATGGATACCTTTTATGAGACTTAAAACGTGTAATACTGGTTGATTAAATGATTAATGAAACATGACGTATGGTAAGAAGTAAGTGTGACTGATTAAATGTAAACACTCGCTTGTTAAAGATTTCTGTTGAAAACCATAACTTCCTGGAGGCTAAAAAACATACTTTAAAATACAAAATCAACTCACACTCGATTTGCAGAAGGCTGGACAAGGAACCAGATTCTGATGGGTTGTTGCCATTCCCGTCATTGCTTCTCCGTCTCACTGACTTTCTTCTCATCAGACGATCCTTGTTCAAACATCTTCAGGATCGAGGAATACAGGTAGAAAACTCTCGTTATTCACACTATCACACTATGATATTTTTGTTGTCCAAAGGCCGTTTTACAAACGTTAATTGGAGGCTGAAAGCTACATTCATTTGGGGACCGAGCAGGTTTTTACATCCCTAAGGCCGAAAATCAGCTGGTATATTATTTACATCTGGTATATTTACTTAAAACATGAATGCATGTTAAATCATAGACAAATAGAATAAATATAGTCTTTCAAAAGAAGGTTCTGGCGCCCACCACTATGAGTGCCGTGTAGTTACGGCGCACACCGCTGCAGGCGAGGAGCACAGGAGCTGTATGCTAACAGCAGACGCTGCAGCGGTGTGTGCCGTAACTACATGGCACTCCTTGCGGTGAGCACCGAAATATATGCTAACCTGCTGCCGGTCTATATTTACACAAACAGTATCTATATGCATTGCTATTAATTAACAGCTGTGTCTATGGTATGTCGGCCTTAGTCACTAACAAGACTACAAGATCGCGCCACTCATCCTACACTCATCTCCATTCATACTTGGCTTAAAATACCTACATTGTATGGTCGCCATTTCATAAGAAAGTAAAGTATTAAAGCAATAGACTTAATTTATTGTCACCGCTGTCTAGCAACTATTTATTATTTTTGCTGATTTCTCTAAATATTTCTTCACATATCCTTAAAGTTAAAGTTGTGTGCATTTATTGTATTTATTTTCTCAATTTTCTATAGTGTAGTGAAAAATAGCGTTTGTACCATGGGCCGAAAGGGTTTTGCAGCTCTCGATAGTTTTGTATCGAGCCGGCAAAACCTCATTTCGGCCCTAGGTACGAAATATACTATTCTACCTTATTTTTGTTGTGAGGTAGTTGACATGACATAAAAGATGCTATAGCTAACAAATAAGTCGTCCTATCATTTAGAATTTGTTTAATATTCTGAATATTTACATCAGTAAATCAGAAATCAGTAATTTACATCAGCACAATTTGTTGATTACTCACTTTAACTACATCCCATTTATGACATAAAACCTGGCGACAACCTTAAAATGGGGATGGAATGTCCAGTTCTATCAGTGAAAGATGATACTTTTTTGTAATAGTGCCATGTACATGTGAATATAAGATAAGTGAATGTAAGTTGTTTACAGAAAGAGCCTGGTGAAATCAGCTGGAGTACCAGTACAGTAAATTCACCAATCACCAACAAATTTCTTGTCTACAAAGACCACAGACACCTGAAATCTTACTTACTGTGTAGTGTGGTGAAAAGTAGTTTTATTTACTGTTAGATTGCTCACAAACTGAATTTTACACTGGTGCTTAATATTGGTACAAAATTCTTGAAAATGTAAAAAGATAAATTTAAATCTTCCATTATAATGATTAATGGTTTAACCCTTTTACATCTATAAAACAAGATTACTTTGAACAAAGATTTTTTAGACACACACATACACAGTAGGATTAGCAAACAGTAGCAAAATGTAAGATATAAGGTGCAACTCAAAAAAGAAAATCCATCAATTGAACTTTTACCCAATCAGATGCTTTGTAGGCCTAATACTGTATTAACCTCTCTACTTGTTCAAGGTTTATATCTGGGTGCTAAATGATGAAGATGAGTATGAGAGAGCATTTCAACTCGGTGTCACTGGGGTTATGACAGACTACCCCTCAAAACTGCGGGAATACTTAGAGAAAAACCCTGAGTACTCTATCAAAGGGTAGCTATTTGTAAAACCTGACTGCTTTAGGATTCCACTTTGTGTTGAAAATTTATTGTAGTTACCTTGTAAATTACACTTTCCAAATTTGAGTGCTTATCACTTGCTAGATAAATTAAGTTTTTTTTATAATAAATAGAAGACTGTATTATGTTTATTGTGATTTATAAATGCGTTAATGGAAAGTAGACATAGAGAATAACCTAATCTGATTTTAGGTTTTAGATTACAACAAAGATTTTTATGATTGTTTTAGTTAAAAATACTGGCTGGGTAACTGATTTGTTACAGTGCTTGCCTAGCAATCAAAAGGTCGCTGGTTCAATCCTGAGAAAAGTCAGTAGCTTTTTGACGGTTCTAAACTGGATCAAGCTATCCCTGATCATTGGACATTAAATAAATGATCCTGACTACTGAAACAGCTGCAACTATAATTAGTCCAGGCGCTAAACGGGTTGAGTATGCACTGGAAGTCTGACAAAATTTGACTTTTGATTATTGTTGGGGACATCTAGTAGATGAAAAAAATCGATGATGTCACATTTTTAGGGTGGTCACAACTCGGGGGGAGGGGGGGAAGTTGCGCGGGTCATCGGTTTACGTTTCCGTGTCTAACTCTCAAACGGTTAATTATAGAAAGGTGAAAAAAGGAGAAAAGCGTCTATCAACGCCTAAATATATTGTCCTTCAAAAAGGTTATTACAACCTTTCTTCTATCTCTTATGCTTTAGGCCTCAATCAACTTTTATTGCAAAAATTAAAATTTAAAACTACTTTAAATTCAAATATTGGAAATATTGTATGCGTTTAAGACATGTTACAGAAGATTTATGGTTAGAAAAACTAACAAATAGTACAAAAACACAAAGTTTAAGGAAATCTGTGCAAAAATAACAGAGCTACGTTTAATTACGTAAGAGTAAACGTGGAAAATTCGTAGTAGTATCGAGGTGCGCATGGATGGTACGTAGCCCACAGTCAATATAGGTTTGATGTTGTAAGTAACTATGGGAAAGCTGAATTTTTCTATGCTGTTAGACCATGTTGAGATGAGCATTTTCCCAAAAGTCCCCACTCCTACCCCCTTATGCTTTCCTCTACCCCCCCTCCATTTTTAGATAAATTTACAGTCTCTTAGAAACTAAGCTATAACTTTAAAACGGGTAAGGATAATAACGCAATCTTTTAATTTTGCGTTACGATATTCTACAAAAAAAGTATTTACCATGGTATCCTACATATTCATAGTTAAAAAATATCATATACATAAAAAATTATTTTACGGATTAATTTATGAAACTTTTCCTTGTAGATTTTTTATACGAGGTCGCACAACAAAATGTTTGATATAAAATTTGGGGTGCATAGTTTACTCTTTAAAATGATACATAGTTATTAACAGTTTGTTTGCATATAGTCGTTATAGATAGTACAGTATATTGATTTTACAGGACTCTGGCTTTTTTGTGCACCGCAACAATGAAAAAAAATACGTATATTATGGTTTTTGTATTTGAATTTGCCGCTTTATATAGATTATATTAACGTTATGTATCTTATTCAGTACATATACAGACTGTAGTGGATACATAAGAATGAATATCATGCATTTGCTGCTGTACGCCGGAGCCTCATTTTATTATACAGGGTGTCTCACCTAAAGTGAACCAATAGATAACTTTTTATTATAAGATATAGAGTTAACTTCTTATGGGACTTTTCTCTAAAGCTACTTGTATAGGAGTTACATCGAAGAAGAAATGGTTTGTGAGTACTGTACATCCTGCATCCTGTAGCTCATAAATGAGTAAGTTTAAGAGCGAAAATACAAAGAATAAACAAGTTTTCAAATCACATCTACATTAAAAAAACCATAAAATAAATTGTTCCAATATCAAAGTAAGCTACCATTTTTGAAAATGGTGGCCATTTTTAAAACAACAAAATCAGTATTTTTAACGTATTTTATATATTTTTTTAACGAGGACTTATATGTGACTTATTTATTCTTTGCACTTTCTCTCTCAACTTAGTCGTTTATAAGCTACAGGATGCCGAATGTACACCACAAGCCTATCTTTTAGATATAACACGCTCTAACTCCTAAATGGGGTAGGTTTAGAGAAAAAATGTCACGAATAAAAACGTTTAAAAATAGCATTTAAATTCTAAAAGAATCCTAAAATACAGCGTATTCCATAAGAAATAACAAAGTTGTTGGCCATATTGGAAAATGGTGAATATATTTTTTTTAATTCGTAACCATCCCTAAAAACATTTTTTACAAATAAAGGGGGTCGTCTAAAAGTTAACTCTATATATGGAAAATCAAATTTATGTATGTTCACTATGTAATCTCAACCGGGATAAAAACGTGTACCCTTTTATATACAGAATGTCCAATTTAAAAAAAGATACGTCAATTTTGGTTTAACAAGTTATATTTAAATGAATATGAGTTTTTTGAATTTTTAAATGGCAAAGATTGGCGGGCACTTGGAAATTATCTTAAAGAGGCGTGGAGTAAAGGGTGGGAATTGATAATGGAGTTTAGTTATTAAATTTAAGAATTGAGATATAAATACAAAAGTGGGAAAAATCTATGTAATTAAAAAAATTTATAAAATATTGTTTGTTAAGTATCTATCAAAGTAAATTATAAAAGTAACAGGTTTGTTTTATGAATTATTAACAGTTTGTAGGAAAAATTCAGATTCTCAGTAGGCTACATTTAAATTTTATTATTCATTCAATTGTTATCTGATCTTTATTAGTATGTAGTTCTATTTGTGTATATTCTGTAGTGGAAATCAGTTTATTTTATGAATAATTGTATGTGATTCATGAACTCTTTTAAACTGTTTTAAAATATTTTAAAATCAGTATATCAATTACAAAACAGACGGTCTTTGACCATTGTTCTTTGCATTTAAATAAAAAACACTGTATTGATATTTTATTACAATTAACACTTCTTCTTCTTCAGAAATCTATAATTACCTTACCTCCTTGGCCACTCAAACCTAAGAAGGTTTTTGGCCTCGCCAACAAGTTGCCTTCACTGCTGCCGATCTGCCGCCATGTCAAGAGATGCCCCCACTCTGCGTAGGTCCTTCTGGACTTGGTCTCTCCATCTCAACTTCGGTCTTCCTAGCGGGCGAGTGCCTCGTGGTTGTCCATTGGCGATCTTCTTAAGCATACTTTCTTCTTCCCTTCTTTCTACATGGCCTGCCCATCTCAGTCGTCTACTCTTCACTATGGCTACAATGTCCGGTTCTTTGTACAGTTCTCGGAGCTCTCGGTTTTTTCTTATTCGCCACATACCTTCTTCATTTATAGGTCCGAAAATCTTCCTCAAAATTTTGTTCTCAAAAATTATAAGTTTGTTTTCATGATTTTTAGTTAATGTCCAGGTTTCCGAACCATATAAAAGCACTGGTTGAATTAAAGTTTTATAGATTCTTAATTTTGTGTTTTTGGATAGTATTTTTGAACTAAATATTTTTGATACGCCCCAGAAACATTTGGAAATATAATAATAATTCTTTTTAAATATTTATTTATCTAATAATTCTTTTTGTATATTATCGTAACGCAAAATGATTAATAAAAGATTGCGTTATTATCCTTACCCGTTTTAAAGTTATAGCTTAATTTATAAGAGACTGTAAATTTATCTAAAAAGGAGGGGGGTGGGGGTTAGAGGAAAGCACAAGGGGGTAGGAGTGGGGACTTTTGGGAAAATGCTCATCTCAACATGGTCTATCAGCATAGAAAAATTCAGCTTTCCCATAGTTACTTACAACATCAAACCTATATTGACTGTGGGCTACGTACCATCCATGCGCACCTCGATACTACTACGAATCTTCCACGTTTACTCTTGTAATTAAACGTAGCCATACTTGGGAAAAACGAATAGAAATATTAACGAATAGCGCTATTCGTTCGTTTTTTCGGCTAACTTATATTTTAGTCGATACTTTTTAAAAAGAGCTCGAAATAACTTCTACTCAGTTAGTTTTATAGCCAGCGAATAGATAATATATTCGCTGGTTTTAAATCGTTAAGTTTTTGGTCAGGCGAAAGTGTTTCCAATAGCCTACGGGTTATTTATTTGACGTGTTCAGTGAGGGTTGCGAGCGTACGTGAGAGGTCAGCGCCCTTGTGACAAACAACGTGGGGGGTGGGAAAAGAGAAAGTCAAAGTCCAGTCGCTTTGGTATGCAGCGGACCCAGGGGGCGGGACAATGGCAGCCAATAACAACACCCCAAGCACCGAAGGGTGGGAAGGGGGGTGTTTGTTTGGCGATTGATATGTAATCTCAAGTGTCAAAACAATGTCTTCACTTCAGTCGAAGTTCATTATCTTATCTGACCGTTGACCGTGACAGGTGTTAGTTCATTTGTTTTCGCCCAAGTGTTTTTGGTTGTCTTGTCGGTATACATATTTTAGTGATAGTAAAAAATTTGTTATACAATAGTTATTAAGGTGAACAGTGTTGATTAAGTACAGTAGATTAATAATATTGGTTTCCAATGGCGGGCGAGTGTGATATTAAGTGGCCAAACTTAAGTGACATATTCCAACAATTCTTTGTTTCTGTTGTTTTTTCTTTGAACAATATTCCAACAAGTTGAAAAAAATGAAAACGTTCGACTAGCGTTGAAATGTGTATTGTGTTTACCCAAAACAAAAATAATTAAAGCATCAGTCACAAGTGCTTCGAATTTGAGAGCGCATATTAAGGTAGGTAAGTGGAGAAAAAGTATGATGGTCTCGTTGTTAACTTTAAGGGATTATAAATTTTTTTAATGAATATAATTTATATTTTTAAGTACAGTTATAGTGTTTTTCTCAATGCTTTTCCCATGCTCTTATAAACACTATCTCGCCACAAATAGGTCACTTTCAAAACTAGGAGTTAACTATACTTTTATCACACTGGGAAAACTACTTCATCAGCCTTTAAAAAGTATCTGATATTTCGTAATACATTAATTGTTTCTAAGTTAAACACAATACGGCTGTACAATTAATTTTACAGTAACATTCAACTAATTGAACGTCAACAAACTGTGTTTTGAGTTTAACCTAACCGGGAACTTCAGCTGTAACTTATGTTTGTGTATCGAAAGTAATGTTTATGTCAGGAAAGGTGAGATGATCACTATTTGTTTTTGAACTATTGAATACAGAGTGATGACAAGATTTGTATCACCTTTGTCGGGGAAATAAATATGTGCCCTCGAGTTTAAGCCTAAATCTCTCAGAGATTATTGATCCGATTTTGTTGAAACAAAAGTTAAGTATAAGCTGGTTTAAATAAATTTTACGTGGTGTCAATTAAAAAATTTCCGTTCACCAGAAAAATGTATATAGTTAGTTGAAAGATCCTAAAAAGTACCGGGTTTTAAGTAACTTTGCACTAACACTGAAGTTAAAAATGTATTTTTAAACAAACCACTGAGCCAATCTTTCTGAAATTTTTATGGGTTATTGGTAGGTTCATTGTTAACATTTCCATGCATTAAAAAAAATTTATTCACAGTAGTTTTTATACTACTGTTAATTTTTAAAACGTATGCTAACATCGTTAATAAGGCACTGAAAATTACGTTCAAAATATCATCGTGCATATTTGAAGTTAACTTATTGTGACGTATTTGTTTCATGGTTCTAGTGAATATTTTGTTAGTAAATTTATGTTACATCATAAAACAGTAAGTTAACTATAAATATACACGCACATCGGCAACGTCGCAGTGGCGCACGCGCTCCCGCCCGGCTGAGAAATATGGTACAAATATCAGGCGACCCGGCCCGCTGCCAGTCACGGGAGAAATTTTTGTTTACAAATGTAAATCTGTTTAAAATCCACCTTTGTTCGCATTATAAATCTAAAATCTGTCATATTGGTGTTATTGGTGTTATTACTTGTGTCACGGCAAACACTATGGTATTTTGAACGAAATTTTCAGTGTCTTATTAACGATGTAAGCATACGTTTTAAAAATTAACGGCAACATAAAAACTACTGCGAATACAATTTTGTAAATGCACATATATGTTATTAATGAACCTTATATTTAATTTTGTTTCAACAAAATCGGGTAATTCATCTCAGAGATATTTTGGCTCAAACTCGAGTACACATATTTATTTCCCCGATAGTAATTTTTGTAGCAAAAGTATTTATTAATAACATGTTGCAATACTTGCAATTGTGGGATTTTTCAAGATTTGTTTAAATTGACTAACAAGTCAGATTTCATCAATTATTTTATGCTGCGATTAACAATATTTGGCTTCCATTTTAGGGCATAATTATCATTGCTATGAAAACATAGTGTACTGTACTATTACTTAGTGTTAATTATTCAAATTGTTTTTTAGGCCACACATCCTTCTAAGATTTTGGATTTCAATGAAAAAATTGAAAAAAAGGGTCGCAAACGAAAAAATGACTGTACTGATATTACCGAGCCTGTGCTAAAATCATTCTAGTATTTAATTAAAACACAATTAGTAACCAAAGATGTGTCATTATTTCATTACATATTAAATCCTTTAAAACAACTGTCCTGTCCAACAAACAGCTATCTTCTACGAATGTCGAAAACTAACTTTATTTTCTATCAGTTAGTTTTTCAACTAACTAATAACTTCTATCAGTTACTTTTTAAACCAACTAACTAGTAACTTCTATCAGTTACTTTTCATGGGACTAACTTCTAACTTCTAACTAGTTAGAAATTTTGACTAACTTTCCCAACTATGAACGTAGCTGTGTTTTTTTTGCACAGATTTTCTTAAACTTTGTGTTTTTGTACTATTTGTTAGTTTTTCTAACCATAAATCTTCTGTAACATGTCTTAAACATGTACAATATTTCCAATATTTGATTTTAAAGTAGTTTTAAATTTTAATTTTTGCAATAAAAGTTAATTGAGGCCTAAAGCATAAGAGATAGAAGAAAGGTTGTAATAACCTTTTTGAAGGGCAATATATTTAGGCGTTGATAGATGCTTAAACCACCTTTCTATCATTAACCGTTTGAGAGTTAGACGCGGAAACGTAAACCGATGACCCGCGCAACTTCCCCCCCCGAGTTGTGACCACCCTAGAAATGCGACATCATCGATTTTTTTCATCTACTAGATGTCCCCAACATTAATCAAAAGTCATATTTTGTCAGACTTTCAGTGCATACTCAACCCGTTTGGCGCCCGGCCTAAATCAGTAACAAAGCTACAAAGATTATCTCACACCATTCTACACTCATCCTTCACTCATATTTATTTGGGTTAAAATATGCGCCTAGAGTTGTGACCCATCTCAATTAATTGATGACTGATACAATGGTTTTGTTGAATTTAAATCTAAGAATTTTACTTCACTTTATTGCAATGTTGTTCATTAAAAATTAATGGCATAAAAAAAATGTGCAGTTTAAATAGCTTTGGAACCATAACAGGAATCAATAGTTTAAACTCTTGTACACCTAATGTATCTTAGTTATTCAAGTTACACAAAACATTTCATGAAAGGGCAAGCAAGTAAATTATATCAGGGTTTAAATAGCTAAGTTTAAATAGCTTGGGAAACATAACAGGAATCGATAGTCAATAAACTCTTGTACTTGTAATTTATCTTAGTTATTCAAGTTACACCAAACATATAATGAAAGGGCAAGCAAGTAAATTCAGGGTTTAAATAGCTCAGTTTAAATAGCTTGGGAAACATAACAGGAATCAATAAACTCTTGTACTTGTAATTTATCTTAGTTATTCAAGTTACACCAAACATATAATGAAAGGGCAAGCAAGTAAATTCAGGGTTTAAATAGCTCAGTTTAAATAGCTTGGGAAACATAACAGGAATCAATAAACTCTTGTACACGTAATTTATCTTAGTTATTCAAGTTACACCAAACATTTCATGAAAGGGTAAGCAAGTAAATTATATCAGGGTTTAAATAGCTTGGGAAACATAACAGGAATCAATAGTCAATGTTATTCAAGTTACAACAAACATTTAATGAAAGGGCAAGCAAGTAAATTATACCAGGGTTTTATTTTAATGACACAGCCATTTGAAAATAATACTACACTACTTCTCATTGTATGCACATGAGTTCTATGTTATATTGGTGAGAATTTCGAGATTTTAAAAAAACAAACACACACACACATATATATATATATATATATATTTCAACTTTTATTGTTACAATAAGATTCTGGAAAAAAGTGTTTAACTCCAAACTCTCACCACAGGCACACACCCTATCCCTTTACTGTTGGCTTATATAGTGCAGTATTTTAATTTTAGATCTGTGTAGAAGTTGCACATTTTATGTAGTCACGATTTTCTGGAGTATAATTTCTTAATGTAGATTTTACACATAAAAGACATATTTTTACAAAGTTCAATTTTTGTATGTAGGATGGTTTAAAAAAAACTTGTTATGTTAAGTAAAATTCTTGTTCAATTTCTCACATTATAAAGGTTACAGTCGGTGGCACAGATTTAGAATATTCTCTCTTTGAGACAGGTGAAGACACAAAACAGTTCAGTTTGTTCCCTTTAAACACCTTGGTCTGGACTCTAAACTTTCAAAATTCAAAAGGGAACATTTGAATACTCCAATATTTACAGTTTGTGTGAAAATGTAATAGGCTTGCAGTACATGAAACTATGTTTAGCAGATTGTGACTATAGTTTTTAGGGTGTATATAGATAGTGGTGGGAAACGTTTGTTTAAATATTCAGTCATACCCATATAGTTTCAAAACTATCTGATGTCAGACCTAAACGGAATTCATCTGTATTTTCAGCCACTGTATTAGCTAGTCATTAAATGATGTAGGAATTCATCTATGAATGTCAATTGTAAAAAGAGTACGATAATTTTCATTGGTTTACTCATTACAAATTTGCAATTGTATAATAATTAGTCTGAAATTGAGTATTACTAATTAAGAGAATTAATTTATAATCCTTTAATTTATTGCATGTTTGTAGTATGTTAGTTGTATCGTAGAGTTGCATTAAATGTGTAGTGAGATTAATATTTAATGTCTTTATAAAAATGTTTGTAAACATTCTCTCAACAGTGAAGACTGGCCCTATAAGATAGTACGGTCCCCAGAAATAAGGGAATTGCTAAAACATCAATTAAGATAATTAGAAATAATAGCTATTTACCTTAAGTGTAGTAAGAGCGTTTTTACATCACGCAGGTGAATGTTGTGCAACGAGTGGAAGTGAGTTGCATAATCAACCTAAGTGATGTAAACACGCTCTTGCGTAAAATGTAACGTACAAGATTTTACCTGACCCGACAATATACAGGAAGTTACGAACAATATTTTTCATTTTCCATTTCACTCATCTTCGAACAGTAACGTTCATTTACAAACAAAAGCTAGGTTAGGAAAATTCTTCAAAACATAACAATATACCCCCGCCGCAGCAAACCTGCAGAGTAAGCGAATTTCCATTTGCCTGATTGGATTTACACTAAAATGTCTCCTTAAAAATATCACATTTATTCCCTATTTAAATAGAATCAGTTTAACACATACTTAGGTTTGCTGCAACAGGGAGGGTAAAAGTGTTTTTTTATGTAAAATGTTAATATTTAGTAAGAAATAAAAACATTTTCCTAATTTGGGCAAAATATGTTAATAAACAAGCAAACTACAACAGTTTACTTATTCTCCATAAGAATAACATGAGAATTTTAAATTAACAATTTTTTGGAATTTTCTCCGTAACCATTAGGCGCATTATAACGCTTCAATATAGTAAATTATTTGTTTTTTTAAGCTCTACAAAATTGTTTGGAAAGAAATTGCAAAATTTTATGTTTTTTGGGTCAAAAATGGGAAAAACCCATTTTTACCCCATAAAAGCCCCCATAAACCCCCGTTCCCATGGTCCGTTCATGCTGGTTCGCGAACTCGTTCGAACACGTTTGTACCAAATTTCATCAAAATCGGATCATTTTTGCTCGAGTTATCGCGCTAACGGACACATATATATATATATATATATAAATATATATATATATATATAAATATATATATATATATGAATTTGAACGGATGGTGTTTTTGGCCTCTAGGGACCTCAAAACGAAAAAAAAATTGGTCCCGGGTCCAGGTCTTACCATGAGTACTACGGTAATAGCTTATTCCCTATATGGGAAATTCGCTAAAAATTCAAACGCACAGCTGATTTCTAGCGTTGAACTTCGTTGGCTCCATAGAGGTATATTTTTTAAGTTAAGCACTCAATGTTATTTAAATGGGTTTCATTACCTCACCAAGTGAGTTTTACATCACTCGCGAAGTAAAGAAGTTGTATCAAGGCCGCACTAGATATACAGGCCGTGCTGCTTCTTGTGTGACGTCACAACTGTAGGCGGTCCCGCGGCCGCTACATACACAGGCGCTTATACGTTTTTACTACTGCCGTTAGTTCCCACCATGATTTTAACCATTAAATGAAGTCGTAATGTAATGAAATTTTGTAGTAATGTTCTATGTTAGTGTAGTGTACTGATTCGCTAGTTTTTTACACGTTTAAAATTGTTTGTGCATCGTTAGACATTTATCAGTTAGGCTACTGTTTCTTTCGAGCAGATGTTTTTATATAATTGTTTTCATTATTGGATAATGTCTTCCCATTAATTCAACTGCTATGCTATCGTATGGTTTAATATACAAAATGAGGGATGAAAAAATACCGATTTCAGTTTTAACTTATGCTTAAACAGTACCAAACAGTCTTTTATATTGTAGTAGGCTTATCTAGCTTTCGCTTTTTTGTACGTTTCTTTCCTTCCTCAATTATCCGTTATTTCTTCATTTTACTATAATTATTATGTAATAAAGTATTAGAGAATGTAAATAAGAATTTTTTAACAATAGCTTCAGATCTTTACCACAAGAAAGGCACAACCTCAAGAATTGTGCTGTCGAGAACATGATACAATACTGACATGACTACCTTTCTCAGACTTTTACATCTTAAGAAGGGTCGCATTTCCATACGTTTCACCAATTATAACCTTAAAAATACCTTCAAACCAGTAATCAATGCATTTATAATACGATTAGAGGGATATTGTAAATTTCAACCATCTATCACGGTAAAATAATAAGAAAGTGGCTGTGAATTGAGGAGAGTGTTTGCTTATCACTTAACACAAATTTAGATTTACAACAGTTACATAAAACCTGTTTTAATAATTTACCGGTAACCCTCCTATTAGTAATTCCGACAACATCATTGTTGGAAAATAATATCAACACTGTCCAACACAAGGTTTGTTCCCCTTCTGGTCCCTCAGTTTCTTTAACATTAAAATCCCCTTATCTTTAATTATTATTATAAAAACCTCCTGATTTTGGCAGGATACACCTTAATAATAGTAAGGGTTTTAAGCTTCTTCTTTGACTCGACAACTTGTGCAACAGATACTAGAACAACTCATCTGATAATATTGTCCGAACCTAGCCTTTAAATAATCTGTTTGAAATTTTCCCATTTGCACGTAACTTTGAGTATTAGTCAATGCACGTACTTAAAATGTACAATATCAAATAACATTCTACATATTCTATTATGTACTGACGGTGTGTGTCTGTGCAAATTGTGTGCCAAGTGTGAGTTTTCCATTCCTTTTTATTATTATTTACTGGTTATCCTCGTACCACCACAATATTCCATTTCTCTAACCAGACAAAAAATTATCTTAAAAATAAGACATTTCTTACGACCAACAGTTGTT